TCTAGAAACACTCAATGATATAAAATGGCATTTAAAAACACTCATTTAAAATAGAGGCTTTGAAACCTCTGTGTTAGGCTTTAATGCAGATTGTACAACTTAGATCTTATATTTAAAACTTTATCCAAAACCTTTCCCCTCTCTGACCTCTCGAGGTTCTATTCGAGGGTAACAGGTTGCAGAGAAGGCCTAGCCCGGCCCGGGAGTGTGGAACGTAGCCACAGACTTACTCCTTACCTCTAACCAATTCAGGTTCCAGTGGGGACCTTTCTCCCTGCGTGCCTCTCCACCTCTGTTTCCTACTTCTTACTTGCTACCCTTTTCCCTCAACCTATCCTAAGGGAGTGCATGTACGTAGACACGTTAGTTTAGCTGCTATAGGGTTTAGGGTTACGAGTTGTTTGGAAAGATTTGTTCCAAGTTTTGAAGGTTTATTTTCATGAGGTGAGGTAAGAATGCAAAACTTCTCACCCTGGTTGTACCAGTCAATCCTGTGACACCTGACATTGGGGCAATGTTCTTCTTTACGAAGGCAGGGCAAGGCAGGGCAAGGTTATTTATACTGTAGCACATTTCAACACAAGGCAATTCAAAGTGCTTTACAAAAATGAAAGACATTAAGAGCATTAAGAAACATATAAAATGATATCTAGAAACACTCAATGATATAAAATGGCATTTAAAAACACTCATTTAAAATAGAGGCTTTGAAACCTCTGTGTTAGGCTTTAATGCAGATTGTACAACTTAGATCTTATATTTAAAACTTTATCCAAAACCATTCCCCTCTCTGACCTCTCGAGGTTCTATTAGAGGGTAACAGGTTGCAGAGAAGGCCTAGCCCGGCCCGGGAGTGTGGAACGTAGCCACAGACCTACTCCGTCCTGGGAGAGGGATCCCTCCTCTGTTGCTCTCCCTGAGGTTTCTCCCATTTTTCCCTTAAACTGTGGGTTTTTTCCGGAAGTTTTTCCTTGTACGATGTGAGGGTCTAAGGACAGAGGGTGTCGTATTGTCATACTGATATTCTGTACACACTGTGAAGACCACTGAGACAAATGTAACATTTGTGATATTGGGCTATATAAATAAACATTGATTGATTGATTGATTGATTGATTGATTGTACATAACTAATAATCTGCACATATGATCTAAATGCGTATGTGTACAGTTGATGAGTTTAGTAAGTATGTACACAGGTGCTGAGTTTGAATTACAGTGGGACTAAATGGGCTTTGGTAGCTAGTATACCATGAGATGCCAATCAGAATCAGAATCAGAAATCTTGTATTAGTCCCACAGCGGGGACATGTACATTGTTACAGCAAAAGTAGACGCAAAAGTGGCATAGCACGTTAAAAAAGGCATGCAAAAATACAGAATAAGCTAACATATGAATATATGGAAGAAAAGCACACATTAGTTATACTAGAATAAAAATGAAGACAAATAAGTAGGAAAGTATACATCCATGGCTAAAAATGATGAGCAGCAACCTCAAGAACTTCAAGGGACATTATACAAAATAAGATTGATGATGATAATGATGTTTATTGCACATTATTTCAAGAAAAGTGTCTATATTGCACATTGCCAATTTATTGCACAAGATCTCAACAGTCTGTATTGTGTGGGGGGGTCTACCAGGGCCCGTGGTTGTACAGTCTGACCGCTGCAGGAAGGAAGGACCTCTCTCCGTGAGGCACCAGGGGTGCAGCAGCCTGTCCCTGAGGAGTTACATGGGGAGGATGTAGCACCAATGGATACATAGAAACTCAACATCTAGACCAATTTGTTTACAACTTCTAGCTCAGTGTTCCAATATCTGCAGTTGCAAACAGATTCACAACTAGAGATTGATGAGGTACAACAAAGATGCTACGGTAAGGGATGTCATCATCACTCCCAACTTCGAGATTTGGGTACCAAGGGCCGTAACCCCTAAACTTGGACAGTGGCTCCTGCAAATCCCACAAACAACAACCGACGAGAGTGTATTCTTGTGTATTTGAACTAAAGGTAGAGTTTTAAGGTGCATGTATGTCTGTGTAGACAAACCCCAATTTGCAATCTGTTAATAAAAAGTATATTCAAAGCATTGTTATTTCCAAAACAAAGCAGAAGACGGCCAGTCATTTTTTTTACAGAGTGACTAAATGGAATGTTCTACCCACTAACAAAACATCCTGAGCAGGTATTCATATCTAATTTGAGCTCCACCCAAATGTTAGGAGTGCTTCACCACTAATTGGAATCCTCACTTTGTTTTGCGGAGCGGAGGAGATACAGAGGTGAGCTCAATCTGTCGCACATCTTTCTATAGCTTATCTTACTTCTTTTTTTTTAGCATGGGAAAAGCTGTTAATAAAAGGGGAAATGTAATAAATGATAGTTGAAACTGTGTAGATTTTGTAATTCAATCAATCAAATGTGAGTTGTCCAATGCAAATTGTAAAAAGTAAAAATGACACATTGTTTGCTTGACTCGACAAGGTATGAGTGGCAGTGGCAGCATCGTAAGGGAAACAAATGCAAAAATATAGATTTGGCGAGATTAGTCAATTTAATAATTAGTGAGCTCAATTGTGCTTTTGAAATGTTTCTTAGTTTTGTTCGTATTGAAAATCAAACTAGATTTATTGGACTGCATTCATTTATTTCACAACCGGCAATGGATGCCAATTGTCACACGCTTCTGACAAATGTTTTCCTTTTTCCCTGTCTTCTTCTTCTAAAATTACAGTTACATAAATTCAGGTCACTTCAGGTTCACACATGAAAAGGTGATTTAAAAGCGTTTTCACGATGGGTGGCCCCAGAACTTTAGGGCAAGTTCTACTACTCTCAGCAGTCGGTGTCGGTACGTGCCCGCCTTATTTTTCATTAATAATATCTAAACGAGGATCATTCACTTGTTGCTACAGTAATACACATGGGAAAATATTGAAATGACAAAAGTGCTTTTTTCCCTTAATTTCCTCAGTATGCATATCAGCACTGGTCTCTGCAGATGTAAGTCGATTTTTGTATTCAGCAGTAAATATAAAACTAGTTTTATGTGTGTCTTCTGTTAAATACTCAATAAATGTACTTTCATTTTGGTTTCAGTCAAACAATACATCAGGTAAGAAGAAAGCTATCTTAACTCAATGTAATTCATGTTATTAGGTGTTTTCAGAAAACGTTTTTGGATATAGAGATATTTCGATAATCATTTATGTTTTGATATTTGTAGGCACAGGACGAGGGATATCTGAAAACTGGTCAGTGTGTCAAAACAATATTGAAACTGTTATTTGACTTAACACATTAACACAGCAATGAGACAACTGAATGGAGTTTTTACATTCATATTTGTTTTTGTTTATTTGTTTATTTTTTGTTCTAATAGCAATGCTATCAATCCAGGCAATGGTTCTCAAGAATCTTGTAATGCAGAAAATCTACGAAATGCCAGTCAAGCAGTAAGTGTTGCAGAATTCACCCAAGAAGTACATTCAAAGTGCCAAACAAACCCAATGATGTTTAGAAAGTCACCACAGAGCATTGGTGATAAATGACACCCCCTTGTGTTCACTTGCCATTATTAAGTCAGGCTGCCACCTTCCTACTGTATGTTGCAGTGTAATACAAATTCTTCAATCATTTTTCCCTATAGATATCTCATGCAGTGGACAAACTGGTAAAGGAGCTATCCTGTAAAAGGGGTAAAAATGCAAGCTTACCAGAATATGAGGAGGAGGAGGAGGAGTTGGTAGAAGACCTCAGGGAGCTTGTGGAGTCAACTTTGAAAGTCTTCTCTCAACTGGTAAAAAACACAAGTCACACAGAAGCTCTCTTTGCCCTCATTCATTTAGGAGGAAATACCACAAATGAAATATTAGTCAATAACTACCCTACATTGATGAATGAAAGCTAGGAAAATTAAGTTTCAGATTTTTTGAAATATGAAATGTTTTCTGAAAGCATGTGCCATTATCTAATGAATGTAGGACTAGTACTTAGTTGTCATGGCATCAAATTCCACTTGTTAAGGTACAAAGATGTTAAGGTACAAAGACACATTCATTCAGGATATACTTATTTTCATACATAAGAAAATATGCTTGGATGGGAAATACATGCATTATGTATAAGTTATTGAAAATATAGGTTTTGTCTTGAACTTTTTGAAATAAATAATAATTATCTGTAAGCATAAGTTTGTGTTGGATATAGTGTTAAGACACACTAAATATCAACCACTTTTGGAATAATTCTACTTTGATGCTTTATTGGTTGGTGGTGGGGCTAAACCAATTTGTAACACTTAATAAATTGTTAAGTTGTTCACTAACATTTGTTTCCTGTAGAACTGAGTAACACCAAAAAGCTAATAATCTGACAAATGCAGCTTCATTATTCAATGGTTCATGTCAACTTTTTCTTATAACAGGTCACCAAAGAGTCTGGATTTAATGTTCTGGATATATTTGGAGTTCTGGAAAGTTTGAGTCTTGGTCATCACTGTGACCCAAGATTCATCAGACGGTGGTTCAAAATAAAGATGGCTCCCCTTTTGTCCCATGTCAACAAACACTTCCTAACCCAACTGAGCAGACAGAACTTCAGCTGCAGTTCTTACCAAGAATTGTAAGTTTCGTAAATTCCCTTTTACTGTTGCATGCTGAAATGTAACTGTATACCATGTTTATTTGTAAAAGCTGCTACAAAATAACACAATATAATGAGACTTGTGAAACCAGTAAAATAAGGAGATTCAGTTGTTGCACACTTGGTCAATAGGATTTATTTGAATGAAGGTTGATGAATGTCAGTGGGCTGGATGGAGTTCTGTAGCGCATGGAAATAATGTTGAAATTGAATTAAAAAAGTGTTCACTTTCGCAGCTAACAATGCACGTGTTATCACAAAATCGAACAACAAAAGTAACTTATGATCTTCATTTCTGTTGTTATAAGAAGAACAATAATTAATATGTATTTTCAAGGATTGAAGCTATGAGCGATGAGCTGGAGGACTCTCAAAAAGAGAAGGCAAAACTAATCTACCAACACTTCATTCATGCCTACCTATCAAGAAAGGATTTGCAAGGTAAACATATAACAAATGATAGGCTTAATAAATACAAATGATGAACTCAGAAGATCATTAACACTCTAAAAACTGGGTTAATAAGAACTATTTAGAATTGCATACACATTAAAAACTTTTCATTAGACTATTTACAAGGGCATAACAATAAACCACTCACAAATTACCTTGTTAATATTAGAACATACAAAATAAAAAGTTTGGACTATATATTATGACATGATATCTCTGTATCCTACTTATTATTTAAAAGAGCCTGGCTGCGCGAAAAGTGTGAATGGCAGTGCAGAATGGCTGGAGAAAAATCTTGGAATTTTTTCAAACTTAGCGAGTCTGAAGGAGCTTAAAGAAATCAACAACAACTTCTCTGCAGTGAGTAGTAATTTATTCTATAAATCCAACATATGCATACGTGTAATTTTGTATAATAATGTTTGTATTTCTGTTCTTGGAAATAATGATGTACAAGCAACACAATAAAAACTCAATTTGTTGACAGAAAAAAAGTTTGGAACAACTCTCACCAGAGCAGAAGACTGAGCTGATATTGGATACAGACAGTGGAGCTTTGGAGGATGAGGCCTTCCTAAGGGAGGTGTTGACGAGCTTGATAGAGTCGCCTGATGATGAGGAGTTTGAACACTTTTTAATTGCTTTTGCAAAAGCCAACAAGCAGGTGAATGCTTAACTATGGAATTGTTCTATTTTCATAAAAAGCGTGCTGGCAAGCCGGCCATGTTACAATTGTCCTGAGATGGTTACATTTTTGCAGAACCTGAAAAAAGGCCAGGAATTGAATCAAAAGCTGTTTAACACTTAAGATGTTAAAGGATTTGCAGTTATGGTGGCCTGACTGTTTTCCCCATGCATTAGACTGCAAAGATGAGCCACCAAACTTGCTCTAACCTCTACAATCATTTCAGGAATCTAAATGTTCTCCTGTGCTGAAACATGTATACTTTTATTTCCAGAAAAACATCACCCTCATCAAAAATCCAGGTGTACGAGACACAATCTTGAACCTGACTTTGACGGCCCTTGCGCCTGAATTTGAAGAATTTGAGCCTGAAGACTTTAAGATGTTGTTCCAGGACCATTTGGCTCCTGTCTTGGCGAGCCTCCACCCTGGCAGCTTGGCGGTTATCCCCAATAACATCAGCTGTCACTCCTACAGAGCTATGTAAGAGATGATATTTCTAAAGTCCACAGTTAGACATTATAGGTTTGCATAATGATGATTTCAAACGTTGGCACCAGACAAGTGACAAAGATTGATGTGCTCTTTCTTCAGACTCACTGGTCTTGGGCAAAGTGTGGAATCCCTGCCATTGCACCTTTCGGACAGCCTGAGATCAAGCATAAAGTCACTGAAGGAAAGATTCACACGTACGTTTCAAAACACTCTGCTAACAAACTTTTTTTTAGAAAACCCAATTACCATTACTTGTAACGATAGCTGTATTGATGACATAACTTCATTTACATTTTCTTCCAAACAGGTTGCTCACTTCCAGACTCCTTCATGGTGAGTTCATTAACATGGGGATATAACATGGAAAAGGCTTTGCAATAGTTGATAACAAATTTACAGGACACACGTTTGGCATACAAAAATGATTTATATTAAGGAGCTTCATTGAGCTATTTTTAACTTAAACAAACTTTTGCCACTAAACTAACAATTATGATTTGCTTTTCTCCAGTGCAAGAAGACCCCGGTCAATGGTAAGTCTGTCAATTACCAGACATTAAAACGTTGATGAAAAGATTGCATTGCAAAGGTACAATATCTGATACGCATTTTTGTCTTCTCACAGAGAACCTCACCTGTGCTGCAGTCAATAGGTAAGTGTATAGCAGATTTGTCCGGTGCTAGGTTTGCGGAGTTCTTTTACACAATCTAACTAAGGTTAAATGGTTGTTTTTCCCCTCAGATCACACGTCCAAGAAACACTATCTGTTTACAATTCCTCTGAAGCGCTGTGCCGTTTTAACCCTCACTGAGCATGCTTGTTCCTCGGTAAGTTTGTTTTATGTAAGCTATCAATCCCAGAACAAGATTTGGCTTTTGCTACACGAGCCTCCTGAAACTAATAGCCATAGGCTCTGAGACACTTTGCTTTATTTCTGTCTATTTCTTTCCAAGGCTACACATCTAACAGCCAGCAACTTGGTCACATTGATGAACTGCACACTGGAAAGCAACAGGACATACCCGACAGAGGTCTGGAAGCTTTTATTCCAAAAAGCTTCTCCTGAACTAGACAAGGCTCTTGAGACATTCGCAAACATGGTAAATGCCACATCATCACAAAATTGGTGTTTTCCCGTGCCAATTCTGTCAAACCAAAATTATTTTCCTAATTCCAGGCACCAGGCAACAGCAAGCCATCCTTGTCACATGCACTTGAGGCTCTCGGAGAGGTGAGAATTGCCAACTTCAGCCAGACACAACTGCAGAGTGATGACTTTGTCGGCAGCTGGTTCCAGACAAATATTCGTCCGTTTTTGGCCTCCACAACCCCCAACTTCCTGTTCTGCCTCAGCTCCAAGAACTTCAGCTGCGAGACCTACCAGACTGTGTAAGAGAACATGTGATACATTGCTCTACTGTGAACATTGATGGCAGATGAACCTGCCTATTTCTAGTCGGTTAGATGTTTACAGCCTTCTCTCAATATTTAGCATCAAGGCATTCAGCAGTCAAAGGGCATCCATGGACAGAGAACAACAGCAAGCTGTCTACACGCATTTCATCCGACCATTCCTTTCAAGAAATGACTCATCAGGTAAACGCAGGCACTCAGGCTCAATTAGGTCAAGTTTTGATGGCATGTGGTTGGTATACCCTGTCAATGTCAATGTTTCTGTCTTCTTCGCAGATCCTGGCTGTGTCTCCTTCAACAGAGGCAGTAAAGAGTGGCTTCAGGGCAACTTTGGCAACTTCTCTGGTTTTGCAAAACTTCGGGATCTGCAACATCTCAATGCCAACTTCTCCAGCGTAAGTGGCGGATGACGGTTGTAATATTCTTCTTCCAAACCGGAATGTCTAACCTGTGGTTTTGCAATAGATGCTTTATGATTTCATATTGATTCCCTTCCGTAGGCCGAATTGTTGCCACTGCTCACTCCCACTCAGGTGGCAGAGTTGACACTGAGCTCAGGGGCCTTGAATGACACCGACCACATTGACCGTGTGTTTGAGCGACTCCAGGAGGGCGATGCTCTGGAAAATGTGGAAGAATTCCTGACACAGCTGACAGCTAATGGAAAGGTAGGCCACCTTTGAAATCAGAGTAAGAATGGCAATCCTGGGAATGGCAATCCTCTACATTAGTTGTCGAGGACTCTATCATTTCCAATATAGTGTTACATCCTTTGTTGCATCATGTATAGTGTAGTATGTCTTTTAAACCCTCTAATGTTGTCATTTCACAGGGCCCGGATTTCCAACCTGTTGTGAGAGACCGTGTAATGAATCGGACCTTCAGCATTATCAGTCCCAATTTCACACACTTTATGGAAGAAGACTGGTTTGTTTGGTTCCATAAGATCCTGGTTCCTGTCCTCCCAAGTTTCAGTCCAATGATGATCAAGAGTGCAACCGCAAACATTTCCTGCAAAAACTTCCAAGTCGTGTGAGTAGCACTTTACAAACAAATACGCTTGCATTGCAGAGAATTCAACATCTAATGTGGGACTACATAATAATGTTTCTTTTCATCCCATGCAGTGTGAGTGGGATGAGCAATGCTGCCCCTGCAATGTCCAAGGGACAACGAAAAGGCATTGGAAAAGCCTTGCAAGGCTATCTGGTCAAATCGGCCAGTGTCATCAACAAGCCAGGTAGGGCTAACACTGGCTGGCACTCAACTTGTACCATGTGTATCGATGAAAAATAAAGCTTGCTAAATGGTACCCATGCTAATGTCTATCTACCTGCCTTAGTTTGCAGACACGGAATTCAGAGTGATGCGGAATGGCTTGAAGCATACTTGGGTGCATTTTCCCAACACGTAACATACTCTGACCTCAAAGCCTTCAACCTCTCTGCGGTAAGTCATACATTAAGCTAGCAATATTCCTTGAAAACAACCACACAGTATTCAGAACATGGAAAATCTGCACGCGGGAGTTGTTCTGGCACGTCACGGTGAAAAGCAAGTGGTATATCCTCTTTGTTTGTATCCTTAGATGGCAGTTGTGGACTCCCTCTCACCAGAGCAGAAGACTGAGCTGATATTGGATACATGACAGTGGAGCTTTGGAGGATGAGGCCTTCCTAAGGGAGGTGTTGACGAGCTTGATAGAGTCGCCTGATGATGAGGAGTTTGAACACTTTTTAATTGCTTTTGCAAAAGCCAACAAGCAGGTGAATGCTTAACTTTGGAATTGTTCTATTTTCATAAAAAGCGTGCTGGCAAGCCGGCCATGTTACAATTGTCCTGAGATGGTTACATTTTTGCAGAACCTGAAAAAAGGCCAGGAATTGAATCAAAAGCTGTTTAACACTTAAGATGTTAAAGGATTTGCAGTTATGGTGGCCTGACTGTTTTCCCCATGCATTAGACTGCAAAGATGAGCCACCAAACTTGCTCTAACCTCTACAATCATTTCAGGAATCTAAATGTTCTCCTGTGCTGAAACATGTATACTTTTATTTCCAGAAAAACATCACCCTCATCAAAAATCCAGGTGTACGAGACACAATCTTGAACCTGACTTTGACGGCCCTTGCGCCTGAATTTGAAGAATTTGAGCCTGAAGACTTTAAGATGTTGTTCCAGGACCATTTGGCTCCTGTCTTGGCGAGCCTCCACCCTGGCAGCTTGGCGGTTATCCCCAATAACATCAGCTGTCACTCCTACAGAGCTATGTAAGAGATGATATTTCTAAAGTCCACAGTTAGACATTATAGGTTTGCATAATGATGATTTCAAACGTTGGCACCAGACAAGTGACAAAGATTGATGTGCTCTTTCTTCAGACTCACTGGTCTTGGGCAAAGTGTGGAATCCCTGCCATTGCACCTTTCGGACAGCCTGAGATCAAGCATAAAGTCACTGAAGGAAAGATTCACACGTACGTTTCAAAACACTCTGCTAACAAACTTTTTTTTAGAAAACCCAATTACCATTACTTGTAACGATAGCTGTATTGATGACATAACTTCATTTACATTTTCTTCCAAACAGGTTGCTCACTTCCAGACTCCTTCATGGTGAGTTCATTAACATGGGGATATAACATGGAAAAGGCTTTGCAATAGTTGATAACAAATTTACAGGACACACGTTTGGCATACAAAAATGATTTATATTAAGGAGCTTCATTGAGCTATTTTTAACTTAAACAAACTTTTGCCACTAAACTAACAATTATGATTTGCTTTTCTCCAGTGCAAGAAGACCCCGGTCAATGGTAAGTCTGTCAATTACCAGACATTAAAACGTTGATGAAAAGATTGCATTGCAAAGGTACAATATCTGATACGCATTTTTGTCTTCTCACAGAGAACCTCACCTGTGCTGCAGTCAATAGGTAAGTGTATAGCAGATTTGTCCGGTGCTAGGTTTGCAGAGTTATTTTACACAATCTAACTAAGGTTAAATGGTTGTTTTTCCCCTCAGATCACACGTCCAAGAAACACTATCTGTTTACAATTCCTCTGAAGCGCTGTGCCGTTTTAACCTCACTGAGCATGCTTGTTCCTCGGTAAGTTTGTTTTATGTAAGCTATCAATCCCAGAACAAGATTTGGCTTTTGCTACACGAGCCTCCTGAAACTAATAGCCATAGGCTCTGAGACACTTTGCTTTATTTCTGTCTATTTCTTTCCAAGGCTACACATCTAACAGCCAGCAACTTGGTCACATTGATGAACTGCACACTGGAAAGCAACAGGACATACCCGACAGAGGTCTGGAAGCTTTTATTCCAAAAAGCTTCTCCTGAACTAGACAAGGCTCTTGAGACATTCGCAACCATGGTAAATGCCACATCATCACAAAATTGGTGTTTTCCCGTGCCAATTCTGTCAAACCAAAATTATTTTCCTAATTCCAGGCACCAGGCAACAGCAAGCCATCCTTGTCACATGCACTTGAGGCTCTCGGAGAGGTGAGAATTGCCAACTTCAGCCAGACACAACTGCAGAGTGATGACTTTGTCAGCAGCTGGTTCCAGACAAATATTCGTCCGTTTTTGGCCTCCACAACCCCCAACTTCCTGTTCTGCCTCAGCTCCAAGAACTTCAGCTGCGAGACCTACCAGACTGTGTAAGAGAACATGTGATACATTGCTCTACTGTGAACATTGATGGCAGATGAACCTGCCTATTTCTAGTCGGTTAGATGTTTACAGCCTTCTCTCAATATTTAGCATCAAGGCATTCAGCAGTCAAAGGGCATCCATGGACAGAGAACAACAGCAAGCTGTCTACACGCATTTCATCCGACCATTCCTTTCAAGAAATGACTCATCAGGTAAACGCAGGCACTCAGGCTCAATTAGGTCAAGTTTTGATGGCATGTGGTTGGTATACCCTGTCAATGTCATTGTTTCTGTCTTCTTCGCAGATCCTGGCTGTGTCTCCTTCAACAGAGGCAGTAAAGAGTGGCTTCAGGGCAACTTTGGCAACTTCTCTGGTTTTGCAAAACTTCGGGATCTGCAACATCTCAATGCCAACTTCTCCAGCGTAAGTGGCGGATGACGGTTGTAATATTCTTCTTCCAAACCGGAATGTCTAACCTGTGGTTTTGCAATAGATGCTTTATGATTTCATATTGATTCCCTTCCGTAGGCCGAATTGTTGCCACTGCTCACTCCCACTCAGGTGGCAGAGTTGACACTGAGCTCAGGGGCCTTGAATGACACCGACCACATTGACCGTGTGTTTGAGCGACTCCAGGAGGGCGATGCTCTGGAAAATGTGGAAGAATTCCTGACACAGCTGACAGCTAATGGAAAGGTAGGCCACCTTTGAAATCAGAGTAAGAATGGCAATCCTGGGAATGGCAATCCTCTACATTAGTTGTCGAGGACTCTATCATTTCCAATATAGTGTTACATCCTTTGTTGCATCATGTATAGTGTAGTATGTCTTTTAAACCCTCTAATGTTGTCATTTCACAGGGCCCGGATTTCCAACCTGTTGTGAGAGACCGTGTAATGAATCGGACCTTCAGCATTATCAGTCCCAATTTCACACACTTTATGGAAGAAGACTGGTTTGTTTGGTTCCATAAGATCCTGGTTCCTGTCCTCCCAAGTTTCAGTCCAATGATGATCAAGAGTGCAACCGCAAACATTTCCTGCAAAAACTTCCAAGTCGTGTGAGTAGCACTTTACAAACAAATACGCTTGCATTGCAGAGAATTCAACATCTAATGTGGGACTACATAATAATGTTTCTTTTCATCCCATGCAGTGTGAGTGGGATGAGCAATGCTGCCCCTGCAATGTCCAAGGGACAACGAAAAGGCATTGGAAAAGCCTTGCAAGGCTATCTGGTCAAATCGGCCAGTGTCATCAACAAGCCAGGTAGGGCTAACACTGGCTGGCACTCAACTTGTACCATGTGTATCGATGAAAAATAAAGCTTGCTAAATGGTACCCATGCTAATGTCTATCTACCTGCCTTAGTTTGCAGACACGGAATTCAGAGTGATGCGGAATGGCTTGAAGCATACTTGGGTGCATTTTCCCAACACGTAACATACTCTGACCTCAAAGCCTTCAACCTCTCTGCGGTAAGTCATACATTAAGCTAGCAATATTCCTTGAAAACAACCACACAGTATTCAGAACATGGAAAATCTGCACGCGGGAGTTGTTCTGGCACGTCACGGTGAAAAGCAAGTGGTATATCCTCTTTGTTTGTATCCTTAGATGGCAGTTGTGGACTCCCTCTCACCAGAGCAGAAGACTGAGCTGATATTGGATACTGACAGTGGAGCTTTGGAGGATGAGGCCTTCCTAAGGGAGGTGTTGACGAGCTTGATAGAGTCGCCTGATGATGAGGAGTTTGAACACTTTTTAATTGCTTTTGCAAAAGCCAACAAGCAGGTGAATGCTTAACTTTGGAATTGTTCTATTTTCATAAAAAGCGTGCTGGCAAGCCGGCCATGTTACAATTGTCCTGAGATGGTTACATTTTTGCAGAACCTGAAAAAAGGCCAGGAATTGAATCAAAAGCTGTTTAACACTTAAGATGTTAAAGGATTTGCAGTTATGGTGGCCTGACTGTTTTCCCCATGCATTAGACTGCAAATATGAGCCACCAAACTTGCTCTAACCTCTACAATCATTTCAGGAATCTAAATGTTCTCCTGTGCTGAAACATGTATACTTTTATTTCCAGAAAAACATCACCCTCATCAAAAATCCAGGTGTACGAGACACAATCTTGAACCTGACTTTGACGGCCCTTGCGCCTGAATTTGAAGAATTTGAGCCTGAAGACTTTAAGATGTTGTTCCAGGACCATTTGGCTCCTGTCTTGGCGAGCCTCCACCCTGGCAGCTTGGCGGTTATCCCCAATAACATCAGCTGTCACTCCTACAGAGCTATGTAAGAGATGATATTTCTAAAGTCCACAGTTAGACATTATAGGTTTGCATAATGATGATTTCAAACGTTGGCACCAGACAAGTGACAAAGATTGATGTGCTCTTTCTTCAGACTCACTGGTCTTGGGCAAAGTGTGGAATCCCTGCCATTGCACCTTTCGGACAGCCTGAGATCAAGCATAAAGTCACTGAAGGAAAGATTCACACGTACGTTTCAAAACACTCTGCTAACAAACTTTTTTTTAGAAAACCCAATTACCATTACTTGTAACGATAGCTGTATTGATGACATAACTTCATTTACATTTTCTTCCAAACAGGTTGCTCACTTCCAGACTCCTTCATGGTGAGTTCATTAACATGGGGATATAACATGGAAAAGGCTTTGCAATAGTTGATAACAAATTTACAGGACACACGTTTGGCATACAAAAATGATTTATATTAAGGAGCTTCATTGAGCTATTTTTAACTTAAACAAACTTTTGCCACTAAACTAACAATTATGATTTGCTTTTCTCCAGTGCAAGAAGACCCCGGTCAATGGTAAGTCTGTCAATTACCAGACATTAAAACGTTGATGAAAAGATTGCATTGCAAAGGTACAATATCTGATACGCATTTTTGTCTTCTCACAGAGAACCTCATCTGTGCTGCAGTCAATAGGTAAGTGTATAGCAGATTTGTCCGGTGCTAGGTTTGCAGAGTTATTTTACACAATCTAACTAAGGTTAAATGGTTGTTTTTCCCCTCAGATCACACGTCCAAGAAACACTATCTGTTTACAATTCCTCTGAAGCGCTGTGCCGTTTTAACCTCACTGAGCATGCTTGTTCCTCGGTAAGTTTGTTTTATGTAAGCTATCAATCCCAGAACAAGATTTGGCTTTTGCTACACGAGCCTCCTGAAACTAATAGCCATAGGCTCTGAGACACTTTGCTTTATTTCTGTCTATTTCTTTCCAAGGCTACACATCTAACAGCCAGCAACTTGGTCACATTGATGAACTGCACACTGGAAAGCAACAGGACATACCCGACAGAGGTCTGGAAGCTTTTATTCCAAAAAGCTTCTCCTGAACTAGACAAGGCTCTTGAGACATTCGCAACCATGGTAAATGCCACATCATCACAAAATTGGTGTTTTCCCGTGCCAATTCTGTCAAACCAAAATTATTTTCCTAATTCCAGGCACCAGGCAACAGCAAGCCATCCTTGTCACATGCACTTGAGGCTCTCGGAGAGGTGAGAATTGCCAACTTCAGCCAGACACAACTGCAGAGTGATGACTTTGTCAGCAGCTGGTTCCAGACAAATATTCGTCCGTTTTTGGCCTCCACAACCCCCAACTTCCTGTTCTGCCTCAGCTCCAAGAACTTCAGCTGCGAGACCTACCAGACTGTGTAAGAGAACATGTGATACATTGCTCTACTGTGAACATTGATGGCAGATGAACCTGCCTATTTCTAGTCGGTTAGATGTTTACAGCCTTCTCTCAATATTTAGCATCAAGGCATTCAGCAGTCAAAGGGCATCCATGGACAGAGAACAACAGCAAGCTGTCTACACGCATTTCATCCGACCATTCCTTTCAAGAAATGACTCATCAGGTAAACGCAGGCACTCAGGCTCAATTAGGTCAAGTTTTGATGGCATGTGGTTGGTATACCCTGTCAATGTCATTGTTTCTGTCTTCTTCGCAGATCCTGGCTGTGTCTCCTTCAACAGAGGCAGTAAAGAGTGGCTTCAGGGCAACTTTGGCAACTTCTCTGGTTTTGCAAAACTTCGGGATCTGCAACATCTCAATGCCAACTTCTCCAGCGTAAGTGGCGGATGACGGTTGTAATATTCTTCTTCCAAACCGGAATGTCTAACCTGTGGTTTTGCAATAGATGCTTTATGATTTCATATTGATTCCCTTCCGTAGGCCGAATTGTTGCCACTGCTCACTCCCACTCAGGTGGCAGAGTTGACACTGAGCTCAGGGGCCTTGAATGACACCGACCACATTGACCGTGTGTTTGAGCGACTCCAGGAGGGCGATGCTCTGGAAAATGTGGAAGAATTCCTGACACAGCTGACAGCTAATGGAAAGGTAGGCCACCTTTGAAATCAGAGTAAGAATGGCAATCCTGGGAATGGCAATCCTCTACATTAGTTGTCGAGGACTCTATCATTTCCAATATAGTGTTACATCCTTTGTTGCATCATGTATAGTGTAGTATGTCTTTTAAACCCTCTAATGTTGTCATTTCACAGGGCCCGGATTTCCAACCTGTTGTGAGAGACCGTGTAATGAATCGGACCTTCAGCATTATCAGTCCCAATTTCACACACTTTATGGAAGAAGACTGGTTTGTTTGGTTCCATAAGATCCTGGTTCCTGTCCTCCCAAGTTTCAGTCCAATGATGATCAAGAGTGCAACCGCAAACATTTCCTGCAAAAACTTCCAAGTCGTGTGAGTAGCACTTTACAAACAAATACGCTTGCATTGCAGAGAATTCAACATCTAATGTGGGACTACATAATAATGTTTCTTTTCATCCCATGCAGTGTGAGTGGGATGAGCAATGCTGCCCCTGCAATGTCCAAGGGACAACGAAAAGGCATTGGAAAAGCCTTGCAAGGCTATCTGGTCAAATCGGCCAGTGTCATCAACAAGCCAGGTAGGGCTAACACTGGCTGGCACTCAACTTGTACCATGTGTATCGATGAAAAATAAAGCTTGCTAAATGGTACCCATGCTAATGTCTATCTACCTGCCTTAGTTTGCAGACACGGAATTCAGAGTGATGCGGAATGGCTTGAAGCATACTTGGGTGCATTTTCCCAACACGTAACATACTCTGACCTCAAAGCCTTCAACCTCTCTGCGGTAAGTCATACATTAAGCTAGCAATATTCCTTGAAAACAACCACACAGTATTCAGAACATGGAAAATCTGCACGCGGGAGTTGTTCTGGCACGTCACGGTGAAAAGCAAGTGGTATATCCTCTTTGTTTGTATCCTTAGATGGCAGTTGTGGACTCCCTCTCACCAGAGCAGAAGGTTGAGCTGATATTGGATACTGACAGTGGAGCTTTGGAGGATGAGGCCTTCCTAAGGGAGGTGTTGACGAGCTTGATAGAGTCGCCTGATGATGAGGAGTTTGAACACTTTTTAATTGCTTTTGCAAAAGCCAACAAGCAGGTGAATGCTTAACTTTGGAATTGTTCTATTTTCATAAAAAGCGTGCTGGCAAGCCGGCCATGTTACAATTGTCCTGAGATGGTTACATTTTTGCAGAACCTGAAAAAAGGCCAGGAATTGAATCAAAAGCTGTTTAACACTTAAGATGTTAAAGGATTTGCAGTTATGGTGGCCTGACTGTTTTCCCCATGCATTAGACTGCAAAGATGAGCCACCAAACTTGCTCTAACCTCTACAATCATTTCAGGAATCTAAATGTTCTCCTGTGCTGAAACATGTATACTTTTATTTCCAGAAAAACATCACCCTCATCAAAAATCCAGGTGTACGAGACACAATCTTGAACCTGACTTTGACGGCCCTTGCGCCTGAATTTGAAGAATTTGAGCCTGAAGACTTTAAGATGTTGTTCCAGGACCATTTGGCTCCTGTCTTGGCGAGCCTCCACCCTGGCAGCTTGGCGGTTATCCCCAATAACATCAGCTGTCACTCCTACAGAGCTATGTAAGAGATGATATTTCTAAAGTCCACAGTTAGACATTATAGGTTTGCATAATGATGATTTCAAACGTTGGCACCAGACAAGTGACAAAGATTGATGTGCTCTTTCTTCAGACTCACTGGTCTTGGGCAAAGTGTGGAATCCCTGCCATTGCACCTTTCGGACAGCCTGAGATCAAGCATAAAGTCACTGAAGGAAAGATTCACACGTACGTTTCAAAACACTCTGCTAACAAACTTTTTTTTAGAAAACCCAATTACCATTACTTGTAACGATAGCTGTATTGATGACATAACTTCATTTACATTTTCTTCCAAACAGGTTGCTCACTTCCAGACTCCTTCATGGTGAGTTCATTAACATGGGGATATAACATGGAAAAGGCTTTGCAATAGTTGATAACAAATTTACAGGACACACGTTTGGCATACAAAAATGATTTATATTAAGGAGCTTCATTGAGCTATTTTTAACTTAAACAAACTTTTGCCACTAAACTAACAATTATGATTTGCTTTTCTCCAGTGCAAGAAGACCCCGGTCAATGGTAAGTCTGTCAATTACCAGACATTAAAACGTTGATGAAAAGATTGCATTGCAAAGGTACAATATCTGATACGCATTTTTGTCTTCTCACAGAGAACCTCATCTGTGCTGCAGTCAATAGGTAAGTGTATAGCAGATTTGTCCGGTGCTAGGTTTGCAGAGTTATTTTACACAATCTAACTAAGGTTAAATGGTTGTTTTTCCCCTCAGATCACACGTCCAAGAAACACTATCTGTTTACAATTCCTCTGAAGCGCTGTGCCGTTTTAACCTCACTGAGCATGCTTGTTCCTCGGTAAGTTTGTTTTATGTAAGCTATCAATCCCAGAACAAGATTTGGCTTTTGCTACACGAGCCTCCTGAAACTAATAGCCATAGGCTCTGAGACACTTTGCTTTATTTCTGTCTATTTCTTTCCAAGGCTACACATCTAACAGCCAGCAACTTGGTCACATTGATGAACTGCACACTGGAAAGCAACAGGACATACCCGACAGAGGTCTGGAAGCTTTTATTCCAAAAAGCTTCTCCTGAACTAGACAAGGCTCTTGAGACATTCGCAACCATGGTAAATGCCACATCATCACAAAATTGGTGTTTTCCCGTGCCAATTCTGTCAAACCAAAATTATTTTCCTAATTCCAGGCACCAGGCAACAGCAAGCCATCCTTGTCACATGCACTTGAGGCTCTCGGAGAGGTGAGAATTGCCAACTTCAGCCAGACACAACTGCAGAGTGATGACTTTGTCAGCAGCTGGTTCCAGACAAATATTCGTCCGTTTTTGGCCTCCACAACCCCCAACTTCCTGTTCTGCCTCAGCTCCAAGAACTTCAGCTGCGAGACCTACCAGACTGTGTAAGAGAACATGTGATACATTGCTCTACTGTGAACATTGATGGCAGATGAACCTGCCTATTTCTAGTCGGTTAGATGTTTACAGCCTTCTCTCAATATTTAGCATCAAGGCATTCAGCAGTCAAAGGGCATCCATGGACAGAGAACAACAGCAAGCTGTCTACACGCATTTCATCCGACCATTCCTTTCAAGAAATGACTCATCAGGTAAACGCAGGCACTCAGGCTCAATTAGGTCAAGTTTTGATGGCATGTGGTTGGTATACCCTGTCAATGTCATTGTTTCTGTCTTCTTCGCAGATCCTGGCTGTGTCTCCTTCAACAGAGGCAGTAAAGAGTGGCTTCAGGGCAACTTTGGCAACTTCTCTGGTTTTGCAAAACTTCGGGATCTGCAACATCTCAATGCCAACTTCTCCAGCGTAAGTGGCGGATGACGGTTGTAATATTCTTCTTCCAAACCGGAATGTCTAACCTGTGGTTTTGCAATAGATGCTTTATGATTTCATATTGATTCCCTTCCGTAGGCCGAATTGTTGCCACTGCTCACTCCCACTCAGGTGGCAGAGTTGACACTGAGCTCAGGGGCCTTGAATGACACCGACCACATTGACCGTGTGTTTGAGCGACTCCAGGAGGGCGATGCTCTGGAAAATGTGGAAGAATTCCTGACACAGCTGACAGCTAATGGAAAGGTAGGCCACCTTTGAAATCAGAGTAAGAATGGCAATCCTGGGAATGGCAATCCTCTACATTAGTTGTCGAGGACTCTATCATTTCCAATATAGTGTTACATCCTTTGTTGCATCATGTATAGTGTAGTATGTCTTTTAAACCCTCTAATGTTGTCATTTCACAGGGCCCGGATTTCCAACCTGTTGTGAGAGACCGTGTAATGAATCGGACCTTCAGCATTATCAGTCCCAATTTCACACACTTTATGGAAGAAGACTGGTTTGTTTGGTTCCATAAGATCCTGGTTCCTGTCCTCCCAAGTTTCAGTCCAATGATGATCAAGAGTGCAACCGCAAACATTTCCTGCAAAAACTTCCAAGTCGTGTGAGTAGCACTTTACAAACAAATACGCTTGCATTGCAGAGAATTCAACATCTAATGTGGGACTACATAATAATGTTTCTTTTCATCCCATGCAGTGTGAGTGGGATGAGCAATGCTGCCCCTGCAATGTCCAAGGGACAACGAAAAGGCATTGGAAAAGCCTTGCAAGGCTATCTGGTCAAATCGGCCAGTGTCATCAACAAGCCAGGTAGGGCTAACACTGGCTGGCACTCAACTTGTACCATGTGTATCGATGAAAAATAAAGCTTGCTAAATGGTACCCATGCTAATGTCTATCTACCTGCCTTAGTTTGCAGACACGGAATTCAGAGTGATGCGGAATGGCTTGAAGCATACTTGGGTGCATTTTCCCAACACGTAACATACTCTGACCTCAAAGCCTTCAACCTCTCTGCGGTAAGTCATACATTAAGCTAGCAATATTCCTTGAAAACAACCACACAGTATTCAGAACATGGAAAATCTGCACGCGGGAGTTGTTCTGGCACGTCACGGTGAAAAGCAAGTGGTATATCCTCTTTGTTTGTATCCTTAGATGGCAGTTGTGGACTCCCTCTCACCAGAGCAGAAGGTTGAGCTGATATTGGATACTGACAGTGGAGCTTTGGAGGATGAGGCCTTCCTAAGGGAGGTGTTGACGAGCTTGATAGAGTCGCCTGATGATGAGGAGTTTGAACACTTTTTAATTGCTTTTGCAAAAGCCAACAAGCAGGTGAATGCTTAACTTTGGAATTGTTCTATTTTCATAAAAAGCGTGCTGGCAAGCCGGCCATGTTACAATTGTCCTGAGATGGTTACATTTTTGCAGAACCTGAAAAAAGGCCAGGAATTGAATCAAAAGCTGTTTAACACTTAAGATGTTAAAGGATTTGCAGTTATGGTGGCCTGACTGTTTTCCCCATGCATTAGACTGCAAAGATGAGCCACCAAACTTGCTCTAACCTCTACAATCATTTCAGGAATCTAAATGTTCTCCTGTGCTGAAACATGTATACTTTTATTTCCAGAAAAACATCACCCTCATCAAAAATCCAGGTGTACGAGACACAATCTTGAACCTGACTTTGACGGCCCTTGCGCCTGAATTTGAAGAATTTGAGCCTGAAGACTTTAAGATGTTGTTCCAGGACCATTTGGCTCCTGTCTTGGCGAGCCTCCACCCTGGCAGCTTGGCGGTTATCCCCAATAACATCAGCTGTCACTCCTACAGAGCTATGTAAGAGATGATATTTCTAAAGTCCACAGTTAGACATTATAGGTTTGCATAATGATGATTTCAAACGTTGGCACCAGACAAGTGACAAAGATTGATGTGCTCTTTCTTCAGACTCACTGGTCTTGGGCAAAGTGTGGAATCCCTGCCATTGCACCTTTCGGACAGCCTGAGATCAAGCATAAAGTCACTGAAGGAAAGATTCACACGTACGTTTCAAAACACTCTGCTAACAAACTTTTTTTTAGAAAACCCAATTACCATTACTTGTAACGATAGCTGTATTGATGACATAACTTCATTTACATTTTCTTCCAAACAGGTTGCTCACTTCCAGACTCCTTCATGGTGAGTTCATTAACATGGGGATATAACATGGAAAAGGCTTTGCAATAGTTGATAACAAATTTACAGGACACACGTTTGGCATACAAAAATGATTTATATTAAGGAGCTTCATTGAGCTATTTTTAACTTAAACAAACTTTTGCCACTAAACTAACAATTATGATTTGCTTTTCTCCAGTGCAAGAAGACCCCGGTCAATGGTAAGTCTGTCAATTACCAGACATTAAAACGTTGATGAAAAGATTGCATTGCAAAGGTACAATATCTGATACGCATTTTTGTCTTCTCACAGAGAACCTCATCCTGTGCTGCAGTCAATAGGTAAGTGTATAGCAGATTTGTCCGGTGCTAGGTTTGCAGAGTTATTTTACACAATCTAACTAAGGTTAAATGGTTGTTTTTCCCCTCAGATCACACGTCCAAGAAACACTATCTGTTTACAATTCCTCTGAAGCGCTGTGCCGTTTTAACCTCACTGAGCATGCTTGTTCCTCGGTAAGTTTGTTTTATGTAAGCTATCAATCCCAGAACAAGATTTGGCTTTTGCTACACGAGCCTCCTGAAACAAATAGCCATAGGCTCTGAGACACTTTGCTTTATTTCTGTCTATTTCTTTCCAAGGCTACACATCTAACAGCCAGCAACTTGGTCACATTGATGAACTGCACACTGGAAAGCAACAGGACATACCCGACAGAGGTCTGGAAGCTTTTATTCCAAAAAGCTTCTCCTGAACTAGACAAGGCTCTTGAGACATTCGCAACCATGGTAAATGCCACATCATCACAAAATTGGTGTTTTCCCGTGCCAATTCTGTCAAACCAAAATTATTTTCCTAATTCCAGGCACCAGGCAACAGCAAGCCATCCTTGTCACATGCACTTGAGGCTCTCGGAGAGGTGAGAATTGCCAACTTCAGCCAGACACAACTGCAGAGTGATGACTTTGTCAGCAGCTGGTTCCAGACAAATATTCGTCCGTTTTTGGCCTCCACAACCCCCAACTTCCTGTTCTGCCTCAGCTCCAAGAACTTCAGCTGCGAGACCTACCAGACTGTGTAAGAGAACATGTGATACATTGCTCTACTGTGAACATTGATGGCAGATGAACCTGCCTATTTCTAGTCGGTTAGATGTTTACAGCCTTCTCTCAATATTTAGCATCAAGGCATTCAGCAGTCAAAGGGCATCCATGGACAGAGAACAACAGCAAGCTGTCTACACGCATTTCATCCGACCATTCCTTTCAAGAAATGACTCATCAGGTAAACGCAGGCACTCAGGCTCAATTAGGTCAAGTTTTGATGGCATGTGGTTGGTATACCCTGTCAATGTCATTGTTTCTGTCTTCTTCGCAGATCCTGGCTGTGTCTCCTTCAACAGAGGCAGTAAAGAGTGGCTTCAGGGCAACTTTGGCAACTTCTCTGGTTTTGCAAAACTTCGGGATCTGCAACATCTCAATGCCAACTTCTCCAGCGTAAGTGGCGGATGACGGTTGTAATATTCTTCTTCCAAACCGGAATGTCTAACCTGTGGTTTTGCAATAGATGCTTTATGATTTCATATTGATTCCCTTCCGTAGGCCGAATTGTTGCCACTGCTCACTCCCACTCAGGTGGCAGAGTTGACACTGAGCTCAGGGGCCTTGAATGACACCGACCACATTGACCGTGTGTTTGAGCGACTCCAGGAGGGCGATGCTCTGGAAAATGTGGAAGAATTCCTGACACAGCTGACAGCTAATGGAAAGGTAGGCCACCTTTGAAATCAGAGTAAGAATGGCAATCCTGGGAATGGCAATCCTCTACATTAGTTGTCGAGGACTCTATCATTTCCAATATAGTGTTACATCCTTTGTTGCATCATGTATAGTGTAGTATGTCTTTTAAACCCTCTAATGTTGTCATTTCACAGGGCCCGGATTTCCAACCTGTTGTGAGAGACCGTGTAATGAATCGGACCTTCAGCATTATCAGTCCCAATTTCACACACTTTATGGAAGAAGACTGGTTTGTTTGGTTCCATAAGATCCTGGTTCCTGTCCTCCCAAGTTTCAGTCCAATGATGATCAAGAGTGCAACCGCAAACATTTCCTGCAAAAACTTCCAAGTCGTGTGAGTAGCACTTTACAAACAAATACGCTTGCATTGCAGAGAATTCAACATCTAATGTGGGACTACATAATAATGTTTCTTTTCATCCCATGCAGTGTGAGTGGGATGAGCAATGCTGCCCCTGCAATGTCCAAGGGACAACGAAAAGGCATTGGAAAAGCCTTGCAAGGCTATCTGGTCAAATCGGCCAGTGTCATCAACAAGCCAGGTAGGGCTAACACTGGCTGGCACTCAACTTGTACCATGTGTATCGATGAAAAATAAAGCTTGCTAAATGGTACCCATGCTAATGTCTATCTACCTGCCTTAGTTTGCAGACACGGAATTCAGAGTGATGCGGAATGGCTTGAAGCATACTTGGGTGCATTTTCCCAACACGTAACATACTCTGACCTCAAAGCCTTCAACCTCTCTGCGGTAAGTCATACATTAAGCTAGCAATATTCCTTGAAAACAACCACACAGTATTCAGAACATGGAAAATCTGCACGCGGGAGTTGTTCTGGCACGTCACGGTGAAAAGCAAGTGGTATATCCTCTTTGTTTGTATCCTTAGATGGCAGTTGTGGACTCCCTCTCACCAGAGCAGAAGGTTGAGCTGATATTGGATACTGACAGTGGAGCTTTGGAGGATGAGGCCTTCCTAAGGGAGGTGTTGACGAGCTTGATAGAGTCGCCTGATGATGAGGAGTTTGAACACTTTTTAATTGCTTTTGCAAAAGCCAACAAGCAGGTGAATGCTTAACTTTGGAATTGTTCTATTTTCATAAAAAGCGTGCTGGCAAGCCGGCCATGTTACAATTGTCCTGAGATGGTTACATTTTTGCAGAACCTGAAAAAAGGCCAGGAATTGAATCAAAAGCTGTTTAACACTTAAGATGTTAAAGGATTTGCAGTTATGGTGGCCTGACTGTTTTCCCCATGCATTAGACTGCAAAGATGAGCCACCAAACTTGCTCTAACCTCTACAATCATTTCAGGAATCTAAATGTTCTCCTGTGCTGAAACATGTATACTTTTATTTCCAGAAAAACATCACCCTCATCAAAAATCCAGGTGTACGAGACACAATCTTGAACCTGACTTTGACGGCCCTTGCGCCTGAATTTGAAGAATTTGAGCCTGAAGACTTTAAGATGTTGTTCCAGGACCATTTGGCTCCTGTCTTGGCGAGCCTCCACCCTGGCAGCTTGGCGGTTATCCCCAATAACATCAGCTGTCACTCCTACAGAGCTATGTAAGAGATGATATTTCTAAAGTCCACAGTTAGACATTATAGGTTTGCATAATGATGATTTCAAACGTTGGCACCAGACAAGTGACAAAGATTGATGTGCTCTTTCTTCAGACTCACTGGTCTTGGGCAAAGTGTGGAATCCCTGCCATTGCACCTTTCGGACAGCCTGAGATCAAGCATAAAGTCACTGAAGGAAAGATTCACACGTACGTTTCAAAACACTCTGCTAACAAACTTTTTTTTAGAAAACCCAATTACCATTACTTGTAACGATAGCTGTATTGATGACATAACTTCATTTACATTTTCTTCCAAACAGGTTGCTCACTTCCAGACTCCTTCATGGTGAGTTCATTAACATGGGGATATAACATGGAAAAGGCTTTGCAATAGTTGATAACAAATTTACAGGACACACGTTTGGCATACAAAAATGATTTATATTAAGGAGCTTCATTGAGCTATTTTTAACTTAAACAAACTTTTGCCACTAAACTAACAATTATGATTTGCTTTTCTCCAGTGCAAGAAGACCCCGGTCAATGGTAAGTCTGTCAATTACCAGACATTAAAACGTTGATGAAAAGATTGCATTGCAAAGGTACAATATCTGATACGCATTTTTGTCTTCTCACAGAGAACCTCACCTGTGCTGCAGTCAATAGGTAAGTGTATAGCAGATTTGTCCGGTGCTAGGTTTGCAGAGTTATTTTACACAATCTAACTAAGGTTAAATGGTTGTTTTTCCCCTCAGATCACACGTCCAAGAAACACTATCTGTTTACAATTCCTCTGAAGCGCTGTGCCGTTTTAACCTCACTGAGCATGCTTGTTCCTCGGTAAGTTTGTTTTATGTAAGCTATCAATCCCAGAACAAGATTTGGCTTTTGCTACACGAGCCTCCTGAAACTAATAGCCATAGGCTCTGAGACACTTTGCTTTATTTCTGTCTATTTCTTTCCAAGGCTACACATCTAACAGCCAGCAACTTGGTCACATTGATGAACTGCACACTGGAAAGCAACAGGACATACCCGACAGAGGTCTGGAAGCTTTTATTCCAAAAAGCTTCTCCTGAACTAGACAAGGCTCTTGAGACATTCGCAACCATGGTAAATGCCACATCATCACAAAATTGGTGTTTTCCCGTGCCAATTCTGTCAAACCAAAATTATTTTCCTAATTCCAGGCACCAGGCAACAGCAAGCCATCCTTGTCACATGCACTTGAGGCTCTCGGAGAGGTGAGAATTGCCAACTTCAGCCAGACACAACTGCAGAGTGATGACTTTGTCAGCAGCTGGTTCCAGACAAATATTCGTCCGTTTTTGGCCTCCACAACCCCCAACTTCCTGTTCTGCCTCAGCTCCAAGAACTTCAGCTGCGAGACCTACCAGACTGTGTAAGAGAACATGTGATACATTGCTCTACTGTGAACATTGATGGCAGATGAACCTGCCTATTTCTAGTCGGTTAGATGTTTACAGCCTTCTCTCAATATTTAGCATCAAGGCATTCAGCAGTCAAAGGGCATCCATGGACAGAGAACAACAGCAAGCTGTCTACACGCATTTCATCCGACCATTCCTTTCAAGAAATGACTCATCAGGTAAACGCAGGCACTCAGGCTCAATTAGGTCAAGTTTTGATGGCATGTGGTTGGTATACCCTGTCAATGTCATTGTTTCTGTCTTCTTCGCAGATCCTGGCTGTGTCTCCTTCAACAGAGGCAGTAAAGAGTGGCTTCAGGGCAACTTTGGCAACTTCTCTGGTTTTGCAAAACTTCGGGATCTGCAACATCTCAATGCCAACTTCTCCAGCGTAAGTGGCGGATGACGGTTGTAATATTCTTCTTCCAAACCGGAATGTCTAACCTGTGGTTTTGCAATAGATGCTTTATGATTTCATATTGATTCCCTTCCGTAGGCCGAATTGTTGCCACTGCT